CCTGGTTCTTCATATATATATATATACATGTAATCTTTTATTCATTAACCTCGTATTTCTGTGCCTCTGTCCAGCGTCTTCACTGCTTATGAAATATATTGCATTTTATATGAGCCAGTCATCTTATCTAACACAGCTCAGGTATAAAGTTTGGTTTGTAAAGCTAGTTTTTACAGTGTTTACCAAGGCTAACGTGTGTATGTGCTGGGATGTAGGACGAAGTACAGTGAAGTACTGAGCGTTTCTAATAAAGAAATCAATAAAAATAAAAGTTTGAAGCCAAAATAAAAACATACAATGTGCAATAAAAATTATTTTAACAGTATTGACCACGAAAAAAAAAAATTAACAATTTTACATCCAAACTAATAAAACAACAAAGTAAACAATGACAACACACACAGTAACACGTAGATGTACACATCCTAGAAGCTGTATCACAGGTGTGAGCAGCTGCAGACATTATCCAACGATCCTGATCCGTGCCATGGTTTGAGCCCCCTGCAGTAGTGAGTGTGTGTGTGTGTGTGTGTGTGTGTGGTTGTCCTCCCACACTTCAACAACATGCAGATTAGATCGATTGGACGGCATCGACTTCACTGTAGGTGGAACGTCTCTGTGTGTGACCTGGTGGTTTGACTAGTAAACTGTTTCACCCCTTGACCTCTGACCTCTGACCTCTGGGATTGTCTCCAGCTCCGGCTCCAGCTCCGGCTCCCACTGAGAGGTGAAGGGGTCCAGCCGGAGGAATGGATGAAATAACAAATTGAAATGTTTTAATGGTCGTGGGGGAGTGGGGGGGGCGGCTGTGTGTGGGGGGGGGGTTATGAAGAGATCTGGTCTTAACTTGAAATGACATATTGTTAACAGTTCTGTAGAGCTGTGTGTGAGTGGGCGTGTGTTCTGATCAGGTCTGTGTGAGCCGCTCTCTCTGGTTTGTTCATCTATGGATCTGCTCTAAAAAGAGTTCGCCCTCGGCCACGGCTACTTCTGCTCATTAATAGACGTTATTGTCAACTTAGCAGTATTGACAGATGGCACAACCGACTACACAGCTGATTAATGGATGCTGCAGGGTCAGCACTGCGACTCCCGCCTCCGTTCACAGCCGCGTCGGACCCATTACAGATATTGTTAGAGCCCCGGTGTCGCTGCGGTGTCGCTGCGGCGTCGCTGTGGCCTCTGCGACGACACAGAGGATCAGCGGTAATAGAGGATTTGGAGCGCCTTCAATATCAATCAGCCTCAAATCAGTCTCCCTTAACTAACATGAAATGTGTCATTTTCCACCGCCTGCACAGTAACAGAGGCAAATAATTGGACCAAATCAATCAGAAATTTCATTTACTGATTAAAAAAAAAAAGAAATGATTTTAACTTCAATATCATGTGAAGATTCAGCAGCAGTTTATTCAACTGTGTCTGTGATGTGCACCACTACACCACACACACATTTGCATCCACTTAAAGCAACCGATAGCTAATGGGTACATTACTTTAGCAGGAAATGTGGCTGTTACACCTCCAGGATTAAGTGAACACCATTGCTTTCCCTGCAAAATTTGCTGCGGCCATTATCACATCTACGTCGCCGCTGCTGTTGGTGTGTTGGTGTGCGAGTCCTTTTGTCTGGCTAATAGCGGGAATAATCATTACAGCTGCATTTGGATGAGTGCTAATTGCATGGCTGCCCTGTAAGCCTACGTGGTCAGACTGGTAAGAACACGACGGCCCACGAGGGATCGGACGCTCACTCTATTATCAGCCACTGTGTGTACTGATAATAGATGGACGCTGCCGCTGCTGCAGAGAGCTGTAATATTATTGGTCGACTCGCTTCATGTCAGTCGGACATGATCAACAACTCTGATTGTTGGCGGCCTCAGCTCTGGGTTATTTTAGGTTTGTGTTTTGTGATTTATGGTTTTTAAGGAGACGACTGATTAGCCAACCAGTTAGCAGTTTTAGGACCAGCAGTTAGCTTCACTTTGGCTGTGTATGTAAGTGTAAATGAGGTGTGAAAACAGAATGTTTGGGAGGCGTTTCTGGGTGTTTGTTTTCAGAAGGACTTTCTTTTTTTTCTTTCTGTTTTTTTTACTGGAAGTTTGTTTTCAGAAGGACTTTCTTTTTTTCTTTCTGTTTTTTTGCTGGAACAGAAAGTCAAATAACAGCAGGTGGATGTGTGTGTTTCACACCTGGTTTGATTTGTAATTAATACAAATGATGGAATAAGGAATCAGGAAAAATGTCTAGAAAAATATATGATAAAAGTATCTCTCACAACTTGGCATGGCATGCTGGGAGTTGAGATGGTATTTGGTAAAAAGAATTTCAAAAAAGTTTTATTTTGAAGAATTTATTGATATTTCTGGCCAAGAAAAACTTTAATATTTACAAAGGTGTTGTACACCAGAGTAAAAAAGTTTTTTTTCACTAGATCATATTTTTAAATTATAGGATTTTGTCTAGACTCGATGACTATTTGTCTGCAGAAAAACTTATTTTGAAAATTTTAATTTTTAATTTTTTAATTTTTTTTTGCCTTATAACAGATACTTAAATTAAATGTAAGAATATTTTAGCTCTGGTGGGAATATTTCTGCAGTGTGACACCACACACACCTCACACACCACACACACCTCATGCCCCCGCCCTGGTGTCCTGCCCTCTGGGCTGGGGTCATGAGTCAGACGTCACACTGCAACCGATTTCCCAGTCAAAGTAAACATGGTGTGAGGGGGAACCTGCATCACAGGAGGTGAGGTGAGGGAGGGGGAGCGGGTGTGTGCATCTGGGCGACCCCCGCTGTGACGTCCCCCCAGACGTCCCCCCAGACGTCCCACACTGTAGACTGTAGTTCCACCACCTCAGAAACCAACACAGAGATGCTGCCAGCAGCACAGCCAACTGTACTGTATATGGAGCACACACACACACACACACACACACACACACACACACACACAGACACACACA